AAAATTTAGAAAAAGCATAAGCTAGGAGCGAGCCTATATAGGAGAAATCTAATCAAATTACAACAATATCTAATTAACGCCTCCGACTCGGTGGGGGAATATTATTTGCCCTTCGGCTAACTGTGCTGCGTTGATCCAGTACTTTTTATACCCTGTACCCGTAGGGTAAAAAGGGTATATTAGGTTTGTGCAAAGTATGTAACATGCAGAAGGAAGCATCTCCGACCCCATAAAGTATATATATTCTCAATCAGCATGACGAGAGAAATCGATCTAGACATGTCCGTCCGTCCGTCCGTCTGTCCATCTGTCCGTCCGTCTGGATGAACGCAAGGATCTCAGGAACTATAAAAGCTAGAATAACCAAAGTTGGTACCTAGATTCTCCTAAGGACGAGTTTATTTTATTTTTTTGAAATATTCCCCCCCTTCCCCCGCTACAGAATTTCGTCAATAGCGTCCACATTTCAAATGCTACCTAAATCAAACTTTTCACACATAATTTATATATAATTATCTACTGTTGTTTAAAATTTTATTCAATTTGGTCAATTCTAACAAACAAATTCTCGCCAGTACAACCCCCACAAACTACAGCAACAAGTTCGCTCTTCTTCTTCCTATTTTTGCTGCTGCTATGGGCGCATATAACTCAGTGACGGAAGTTTACCTGGGTACAGGGTATTACACTGTCGGACTTGCTCGACTGTAGCGTTCTCTCTTGTTTCAAATGTAAGCAAGTTAAATGAGTCTTAAGTCCAATGCCTACAACGTCATAAGACTGCGTTGGAATTTTCACCCAAATTTTACAATAAATGCTGATGTGTCGAGCTTCATACAAAATAAGTAAATTTTAAAGGATGCTGTAGCCATAAAGTTAATCTGTGCACCTGCTTTGCCCATACTTCCTTTTGTTGCTGCATTGGTTAAAAGCTTAAGTGCCTCACATAAGCATAGACACAAGCCTCTTGAAAATTTATTGCAACTCTCTAATCTCTGAAATTGCATTCTTGTTTACTTGAGTTTTAATCGGCCCAAATACCTAAATACCTAAATAACAATTCTATAAAAGCTTTACAGAAATATTTACAATATATGCAAATTTTAAAATTAAGAGTCCGGGCCACTGTGCAGCGTAGCTACCAGTTTTGTTTGCTGAAAAGCATAAAAATAAAAGCGGCAGATTCAATCAAAAATGTACGTTAAAAATTTGTTCCTTTTGTATAGAATGTCGACAAAAATAAAAAAAACTAGGAGGATGCCTTTTGCCGCACTAACGGCAAAAATGTATTCAAATAGATTTCAATATCAATATCTCTAGTCTATTACATCAACTTTTGTTTTGAGAAACAAAACACAAAAAAAAAAAGGGGAAATTGTGCATTATTGTGGATTTTGGCCGATGCTGCAGATAAAGTTTGGAAAACTTCATTGTTATGCTGAGATTCCATTTGGATTTGTTTGTTTGAAAAAAGCCAAAACAATAACAGACGAACATATTTTCTGGCCAGCTAAAACGAAAATGTAAATTTTAGGCAACTGTTATTGAATGGCGTTCGGCATAAAAAGGCCAATACAGAATATGCGCTGATACCTGCCCGCTCAGATATATATTATTCGTTGTAAGAAGGGGATGTGGCCAGCGGCTTAGAGTGCTGAGCACCTAAAAATTTACATAGCACTGCGCAGGGGCTTGATTTCGTTTGAATATCTTTTCTTTACAATACTTTGGCAAATTGACATGCAAATTTGTGAAACAACTTTGTAATTCTTTAGCTGTCGAATGCGCATTATGCTCGCATTAAGTATACGCCACCGAGTTATAAGAAGATGAGGTCTGCCGAAGTATCCAGTATGGTCGCATACTTTAGCATTTAACCAAATCGTATTAATTAACTTTTATGAAATGTTAGCAAGACACACATACGTCTATATGTATGTGAGCACACTAAGCTCATGCGTGTAATATATCATTTAATTCCTTGGTAGCAAAAAGGCACAACTTCAAGCCTCATGGCAACAGTGTCGTACACTCATATCCCCATCACTTTTTATCTTTGCTCCTTTGGGTGTAAGAGATTTATTGCCTGCTTCAACGATAAAGTCATTATTATGGTATTATAAAAGTGGGCTACAATATAAAGAGCAGCAGAAGGCGCAGAGGAGCATTTAAGGCTATGAATCTTTGATGCATGTAATTGCCATTTTCTTCGCCAACTTACCCACGTATGTAGCTGTATACTTACAATGCTCTTAGTATACTCTTATGTCTGTACTTTTGGAGCTTTAATTGCGCCCGAGCCGAGTAGCTGCCATCATTGATTTTATGCCAACAATTTTGTTTTGTCTGCTGGCAAGCAGCGGTTTTCATTTATGCTAATGCCGTTGAAATTTATCGTTTGTCTTGCACTAATTAAAATTTCATCAGATCCAAAATGCCGACAGCTGCAGATGGCAATGCATTAATTATGCATGCCATACTTGTAGCTGTTTGCTTTAATTCTTACTTATTTTGTTTATAACAACGCTGCAAATTGACAGCTGCTATCCGGCTATCCGTGTATACGTTTATAATATAAACATAATCAATAATTTGTGGCACGTGTAAAACGATAGCTATCGCTATTTGATGGCCACCAACTGCGGCCAAATGTGTGGGTGGGTGGGGGCCATCTAGAATATTTGGCAGCCATTCAAATTGCCAAGTCAAGCAAAACTGCAAGTTGTAAGAAAAAGTTGCTTGCAAAGTGCAAGCCATAAACAGGCTGCGTCATTGTGGCGCCTTCAGTCAGCTCCATTGGGCCTTCGAGCGGGCATGAGAGAAGCTTTAAATGCCTGCCAGTCAAGTGCCTAGAATTTTATTTGCATTGCCTCTGTCTCTCCTTCTGCCTCTGACTCTGGCCCTGCCTCTCAGCCACATGTGCGGCCTTGCTGCCTCTGACGGCTTTATACAAATATGTATGTAGAGTGGTGCGGCGCATATGTTGCGAGTTGTGCGACTTTATTAAAATAATTCGATATGCAGTTACTGTGTCTATATGCATATATAGTATATGTATATACTCGTACCGTCTGAGATTTATGTTAATTTATTGAATTTAATTTGATTTTTCCCGTCAATATTATTTCCCATTTTCTTTGTTATTGTTGCTGCAATGTCTGTAAGCCCCCATGTCTGCTAAAATTCCACGGTTGATTTTAAATTCAATCGAGTTTATGCATAAATTTGAACTCCGCCAAAAGGTAAAGGCCGCGCAGTCTACGAGAATTACAATCACAACAATTCTCATATTGCAAAGCCCCTGGGTTCTCAGACCTACTTTTTTTACTGCGCGAAAAAAAAAAAACATTTAAACATCTCATTACGAATTCTTCATTAGAAGCGAAACTTGCAAATGATATTGAGTGCAGCTTAAACATAAATAAATATTTTTCAATTCCTTACTTGCTGTAAAATTTGTGTACAAAACATTTATTCAATAATAAGGAGTGTTGTACAATATTTAATTAAAGTAAAAATTGGATCTCAGCCTTCCTTTTTTCAGCGTGAAATATGTTCTATATTACGAATTCTTCATTAGAATCGAAACTATTTTTCAATTCCTTCCTTGCAGTAAAATTCGCAGATAATACTACATCCACTGAAACATTCAACGATATGTTATCGTATGTTTTGCGGATATATGAAGTGTTTTGTTTATGTTCACATTACCACGTTTTCGTAAACTAGATGGTGCCATGAACCAGATCGTTTCTAATACTAATTCCTTGGTTCAATAGTAATTTTTAATTTATTGATCCAAATTCCAAATAAAAGAAACGCAAGTCTCTGAGTTTGGTATTATTCTCAATTTTTAAGCTACATTCAATATTTATGAATAGTTTTAGAAAGTTAAGTTACTGAAAATTTAGTATGAGACTCGTTTATAAAATATGTTAAATCACTTATGTTTGAAAATTATATAATAATTACTGCGTTTATTTTATCGCACCTAGTAAATATGTTCTCAAGAGCATTTGAGTGCCGCTGTGCTGCCTAAAACTTTTAAGAACATATTTGGGTCTTTTTTTTTTTTTTGTTGTGCCAGCACTTTGGGTAATGTTTAAAGTGGCGAAGGTTCAGATTCACCTTTTTATCACCGTTGTTTGTTCTCGCCTGCTGGTCGGGCTCATTAAAATAAGGGTCGTCGCCACTGAGTTGTCTAAAATGTTGCTTGTTATTCATTAAGTAATTGATGGTTGCCAGGTGAAAAAGCCAACAGCCAAGAGCCAGCTGGCAAGTGTCATTTAAATTATTTATAGTAATTTGTTTAATGAATGTTTAATTTGTGTGGCTCTCTGTCCCGTGTTTGCAGTCCTCCGCTTGTCCGTTTCATTTTCACTAATTAGTCGCTTTTAGGGAGGCTCAATAGTGCCTAACCTTAGGCGGCTGTACTTACACGAAATACAACCACAATTGAAAACTGCGATTGTAAGGATATAACATTTTTCATAAAATTCACAATAAATAAATATAGTCCATTTTAAATTTTCTTTTCAAAATAGACAAGAAGATCTTTTTTATCTAAAAATAAATGTCTCCTCTTTTTGGGTAAGAAATATATTTTTGTGAATTGGAAAATGTTTTACAAACTCCACCACAGCTTCAAATTAAAATTAATTCGTTCTAATATTTAATATTTCTTATTTGATATTAATTAATCATTTTCATGCTTTTCTTTCAAATATACCAAAAGGTGATTTAGTTCTGTCTTATGCACAAAGTCCACAGCAGCTGTGAATAAAATCAATAGTAAGAACATCTTAAATCCACTAATCACCGAATCGGTTGTTAGAACATTACGTCCACTAAGGTGCTTTGATCTTCCAACTAGAAAGGGCAGCGAAATGTTGCAAAACTCCACAACGGATAGTTGCGTGTTAAGCTGGGGAGAATGTTACAAATTATTTAACTTAATTTGATCCAGAAAATTACTTACCAAAAAGTTCAGAGTATCCCTTCTATTCACGGTGGGTGAAATAGAAACAAAGCTATTTGTATGTGAAGTGGAGGCCTTATTGTTGTCCACATATACAGATTCATCACCCACATATTCATGGACTTCCCAAATACTATCAATGAGCTTTTGGTGTTCCTTTTGATGCGTATGTGCTCCACAAAGAAGCACCAACATCATAGCCAGATGCCAGGCCAGAATCAGAGCGGCATGATGCAACAATTCAGCATGTCCAGCTTCAGGATCCTGACCATTCCAATCGGCCTCATCAATGCGGTCGTCTTCGCTCTTTTGCTGCTGAATCAAATCGTTGACATCGTAGGTGCTGCACAGCACTACAAAGGACCAGCATCTGTAGATCAACAGGATGTGGAAATAGTTGAAGTATAGTGTAAAGTACCGCCCAGCGTATTCGTTGGCCTTCTTGAGCAGTGGCTGAGCAATCAGCACATGTCCAATAACCTTCAGTTGTTTGTCCGGTTGCTTTAGCCGGCGTATGCGATTGTTGATAGTTTGGAGAAGCGCCGCACTCATCAAATGGTAAATGGCATGTAGGGCCATGATTGTGGCGAAAATCAAATGAACAAACAGCATGAGGAAATTTAAAACTTTTGGCGCACCACCGTCGTCTGCCCAGTGGGGCCAGTCCATCCAAATACCGTAAGCACACATCACTACCAGAAGGCCGATGAGCAGCAGACAGAGTGCTAACAATAGGAACGAACACTGCCATTTATTACCCAGATACGGTCGAAGTTTCTTGTAGGCCAGCTGAGCTTCATTGACGATACACCAGAGCTTATCTTGCCATATACAGGCACCGATGAATGTTATAATAAAGACGATGTCGGAGAAGAATTGGCGAAATAATTCAAAGTTATCTCTTGGAGGTCGCGAGCCCGGCACCAATGAGTTAAAGAGTTCATTTTGGATTTCCACTCTGCAGCGCCAGACCAAGTGCATAATACTGATGAGGACGAGTAATACAATCGGCATATACTGACAGAAGCTTCTCTGATGATAGTAGCGTTGTTTGGGCTTATCGTAGTAGATCCTTAAGAGTCCTGAGTAGTGAAATATTATCCGCAAAAAATGCAGGAACTTGTACAAAACTGGAAACGGAGTCATGTTGAACTGAAACTGAACCGAGAATGCTGTCTATAAATGCAATTATCAAATGAAAACATCAACCCAACATATGGCAGATGAATGCAATAAGCCTAATGTAGTCTCATTATCTGCGTGTTTCAATTTAATTCACTCCATTTCGTCATAGTAATAAAATCGATAGACCTGACTTAACGACTTTGTCACATTGACGTCGAAATCATTGTGTGCATAGGAACTGTAGAAATCCACCTTTATGTGCGAGTACAGTATGAGCCGTTGATAAAGCGATAACAGTAACAATATTGTTAACTTTATAAGACTCTTCATAAGCAGCGGCAGACTAAGGCGCAGCTCGTAACATCGGCTGAACTTTCCCAGCACCACTATAACCAAAGGAGCTCTACACAAGCTGGTTACACAAAAATTGGTCGAGAACTGAAATTAAAGGATAAGAACGAATTTTCTTTTACAACTAGGCCTAATACCTAAAGGTGTTGGTTGTAATAAAGGCTTTAATATAAATCTGTAACGATAGCAACAATTTTTTTGCAAATAATTTGCCTCTCCGATTGATTTGGTACTCACCAGCAAATGGATAATGTCACGTCTGCGTTGCTTAGCTCGTCGTCGTGGAACAATCCTCATCAAGGGTACTCCAAATGGCTGTGCGATTACATTATGCTTGAGAAGCCGCCACGACTTTAAAACGAAGTATTTGGGCTCATCAGCCAAATGCAGGAAGTTGCGTTCAAAGCGCCAACGCTGGCGTTGCAAATCGTGAGCAATCACCATCAACGTGATGAGATGAAAGACAAGTAGTGTCAGATGGCAGAGCAACATGCGATCGGTGCGCAAATGCAAAATGGTTCCTTGCCTGCTCGGCCAGCCAAAATGGGGTTCCAGCAGTTGCCAGATGCGTACCGCCAATAAAGTCAAAAAGCTGAGCAGATGCAGCGCAAAGCTTCGACAGACGCGCAAATGCAGGCTCTCAATAAATGGCTGCTGACGCAAAATCTGAAGCATATTAAAAGAATTTTCATTAGACGGATCCCGTTGAGTTCAAATATTTTCCCTCCTACTTATATCGTAAATCATTCATTTAAAGTTATGCAGGTTTTGTCCTTGGGACAAAAATTTTTGGTTTAACAACTATATATTTGAGTGCTTAATAAGTGCTTGTTACAACTCACAATTTAGATAAATTTTCTATTAGAAAGGGATAATTTCCTCAATGATCCAAAACATTTTCTCCCAATTTAGAAAAGATAGCAAACTATTTGCATTTTAACTTGGAAAATACATTTGCAGTTTGGTGAGATCCCTTAAGAAAGTAAAAATCTCGCTATGAAACCCTTCAATTACAAAAATTGAAATATAATAAGAATTGGAAAAATTAATTTCCAAGTTTATTATAATAATGCCAAAGTTTTAGGAACATTTTGAACTTGCAAGGGCATTATTCTTTACAGAAATATGTAATTGGTCCATTGGTCTTTTTTAATTGTAAATTTCACAATGTTAGAGCCAAAACTGTCCCTTTTCAACTAATAATAAATAAAAAATAAATGAAAAGCCTGGCTTTTAGTAAGAAGTCCATTGTTTATATTTTGATAGTAAAAAAATGTCGGATGAAGAATTTTCTTAAAAACGATCTTCTCCTATATGTAAAACATGATAAAAGTTTGTTGGATTAATGCTTTAATGTCTGCTTTTTAGGCAACATTAATAATTTCCTGATAAACTTTATAATTCCGAGCAAGCCATATAATATTTCATTTAACAAAACTTCTTTTAATTAACCTGGTTTCCATAAAATAGTATTTATCTCAATTTAGAATACATACCTGTCGCAGCTCCTCCAAACGGGTGCAGTTCATGTGCTGGGCCAGAAATATGCTCAACGCTCGATAAATGCAGGCCAACCAGATTAGGTAATTGGCCAAGAACATTAGCATCATGTGGTAGATGATTGCGGCACCAGCAATGGCAGCTATCTGGTAGCAGTAGTACATTTGCGCCTGCCACATAAGCAGCAGCAACTGCAACGCCGGCACCAACAACATCAATACGGTCGCCTTCCTGATGCGAACACATAGCAGCTCCCCCAAAGTCTGCTCCAAGGCGCCATGAATAGCAGCGCCCTCGTTCAGGAGTCGCGTCAGGTGCTGGCGCAACAGAAGGAAGTAAATATAGAGCGGGACGTAGAGCAAGAAGATCAGACTATCGTATATCCAGTGCTGGCTTAACCACAAATATGCAACGCTGCAGAAGAGATTAACGATTGCAACCAGATGGACATATAACTGTTCGTCGCAGACAAAACGTTGCTGGCTTTCCGCATAGCTCACATTATAGTAACCCAAATAGAGACCCAGTCGACCCAGATGGTACCAGAAGCTCTTCAAATGGCACAGGCAGAAGCCGTCGGCCGTAGCACTTGTGTGTTGCGTGGTTCGCTTGCGACTTGCCGCCATGTTGGTCAGCAACTAAAAAAATGGGGACAGTTCAGCGAGTTAATGCCACTAAATTAGCTTTGTGCCATGTCCCATAAGGACAAAGCAATTGCATTGATAGCACACAAAAAATACACCAGGGGCCGGTTAAAGTGCTGTCAGCCCAACTCTGGAATACCCTGTACCCTTTTTCATGTTAAAAAGCTTCTTTTACAAAAAATAAATTTTTTTTCCTCACTGCCTCATAAATAAATTTTTTGATTTCTCCACGGGTAGTGAATTTCCTTATGTGCCTATATTTTATTGCACTTGCTGATCATGAGCATTTGCTAGCCGGTACGTGAAAACTTCATATAAGTAGTTGAATTTAAATTAAAATATTATCTATATATATTTTGTATACAAAATATTTTTATTATTTATATTTAGTGATATTTTTTTTTTTTTTTTTTGTATGACAACAATCCCAATTTCCAATTTGATTCCAATATCTCTATACAAAACTGTTGCATAAATAAATCTTTCTGAATCATGAGTATTGTTTTATGATAGCTATATGATGCGCCGGCCACTTAATATTGCGATTGCCAGTTGCAAATTTTGTAACTTTTTTTGTTCTGACAATCGCACTATTTGCTTGGTATTGTTTCAAAATATTAAATTTCCATGAGCCACATGTGCTGAAAATGTGATATCCCATTGACGTTATGCTCTTTTTTTTGTCAGTTCAGTTTTCAGTTATGCATAAAAATGTGAAAAAGAAAAATGCAATAATTACAATAATGCGAACAAGTACATAATGGAAACATTTTCCACACAACTCTCTGTTGGTGTGGAATAAGGAAAAATATTGAAAATGGTAGCTGGCCCATTCTGATTTGACATAGTCGGTCTCGACATATTATATGTGCCATCGTACTTGTTTTGAAGCAGTGGGAGCATAAATAATGGAGCCCATCCTGCTACTTATAATATGCGGCATACCAATTATCTTTGTGAAACACCAAAAATAATATATACCCTTTCACTTTTCAGTGAAGTGTTTTAAAACTCACTCAAATACTTACAGGTGCTTGCACATCAATTGAGAATTCATGGCCTCCATAACAAGCATCCACACATGCATAATACCTTTCATGCACTTGAAAAATAACGACAAATAATATTTCATGCCCTGTTTATTTACAAGTGAGTTCTCCCTCTCCCCTTCTGCCTGCTCTTGGCCATTGCACAGCGTAGCACGCTTTAATAGTTTACAGTAAGAGCACTTAAAATGCCATAAAACCATAAAAAGGAAATATTTGTAAGTTTACATATCGTAGTTTGCTCTGCTTCCGTTCCGTTCCGTTATGTTCCGTTCCCCAACCCACCCCGTCCACCATTTCCCTCACACATGCTCTTTAGTTGCACTCAAAATGTGAGTGTGTGTGTGTCTCTGTGTGTGTGTGTCGCATATCTCCTCTTACATTTCTTTATGGGCACAGTTATATGCCACACATTCATATATAACTGCACATGCATGTGTATACTATATTTGTTAGTGTTGTCGCGATAAAAGCCGCATATAACAATGAAAGCGAAAAAAAATTATATGTAGTATATACTTTATATATACTTGTATAAGAAAATGCTGCATGTTTTTATTACAAATTGCAATTGTAAAAATTTTATACATCGTCGCATCGCCGCATACCGTGTCACATACCACCTGACAAAAAATATACATACATATTTATATTCGTGGGTAAAAATTCGTGTTCAAGCAAAAAACTACACATGCTAGTACATACTCTTTTTAAAGAGCTCGTCTCGCTCCAAAAATAAACTGCTACACCCACACATACACACACACACACACAAACACATGCGCCGGCATAAAAATGGCGCATTTCCGCTAAAGTTTTTCGGTTTTTTTTTCGGTGTCGCCTACAAAGCAAATGAATTTATTTTGGCCAACTCACATACAATTTTTTTTTTTACACTCCTGAAATTTTTTCAATTTAAATGCGCCGGCGGCTATGAGTCGATGTTCATTTCATTCCTTTTTTCGATTACTGCAGCCATAAATTTCTGAATGTTTTCATTAGTTGTCAGCGCTGCATTTGATGATTTATGAATGTTTTTGATGCCACACCCTCAACGTGCCAGAAATTATATGTTTCTGGGCTACAACAGCCTTGGGCAACTGGTACCGCAAACTTATTAAAAATAAATTTGTATAATATAGAAAATTTTTTTTTTCTGCGCCTGAAATTACTGCCGTCGATTTAATTGAGTTCATTTTAATTATATTTATTCCATATTGCACATGCAAGTGTGGCTATAATAACAGTTTTTATATATTTTTATATACTAGTTCAACGTTGTCAATATGTTGAATGTTTCCTTTTAAATTCTCATTTTGTTTTTATTGATTATTTTTCTAGAAAGCTTTTAAAGCAAGTGGATTTAGTGTTTTATTTGCATTTTTCAATCAAAAATCATTCGGTAGAGTTTATTTAAAATACTCGCAATCTGATGCTATTATTTTAGTCCACATGGCTTACTCAAAACAGTTTATCAAAGCATCAAAAGCGGACAGTTATTTAAAAAGCAGACAATAAATAAATAATTGCTATATACAAGTAATAAATCGCATATTTTGTTTCAATAAAAATAACAAAAATTTAGTTATAATAATGAAACGTGAATTACAGAAAATTATTCAATTTAGATTAATATGTACGTTTATATGTTAATCCGTTTATAAGAAAAACAAATATAAAATAAAATATGTATAAATAATAATTTTTAGGTTAAAATGCAGAACGGGTGAAATGTTATCTAAGGTTTAAATAATTTTTTTTTTACATTGAAAAACTCATCTGTAAAGATGTGTTTAGATTTTATCATGAGCATATAAACAATTTACAAGTAGATCCTAAAGATCGGTTCTATGTAACCCTGAGTGTACTTTGTAAGTGTTATGGGGGGAGATTTTGTCTGCAATTAACATAAAATATTACAAATAACATATGCATGCAAATGTGTTCGAGTATATTTCAAAAAACGATTGTAGTGTTTGTCCATTAGTTAAATGATGTTTTTTGAGTTTCATGGAGCATTGAGCATCTTGAGAATGATAAAATCAACAGCACTTCATCAATTTCGTTGTCAAAGTCGCTGCATACTTGTACTAGACGTATAGGAGGCATAAATAATACAAGTAAGATGGCAAGAAAGGAAATAGGCCATCAAGTGGACTGAGTTCGGTGTCAAGGGCTTAGGTGGCCCACAAGGCCATTGCTAACAAGGACAATGAAGATGCCGATGCCGATGCTGATGCCAATGAGGATGCCAAGCCTGATGGCTTTAATGGTTGTTTGACAACTTGTACATGTGTGTGGGGCTGTGTGTTCGTGTTTTTGTGTGCGAGTGTGTGTGGAAATTAGGGGGAGCAGCAGTGGTGCCGGGCTTCGAGGACCGACTGACTTGGTTTTATTGAATTCCAGTGCGGCCGACGTCGCTTAATGTCCTTTGTCGTTCCTGCTACGGTATGAACAGGATTTTAAAATTCCACATAAAAGCGCAGTGGCAAAAAGTGTCGGGCCATGCGACATGAATTCAAAATTAAGACGCGTGCACTGCAAACGCTTGGGAAAAGCAAACAAAAATGGAGCAACGAACAGGGACTAAAGAGGAACTCATTGCTGCTCCTTGAGCTTGACATATTTACATTTGGGCTCTGTCATGATGATGGCGATGAACATGCCACATGCTTTGGCATGCAAATCGTTGAGCAGCCGCAGTAAACGATTGAAACTTGAACAAATTAATTGCTGGCCAAAAGAAATGAGGGTAAAGGGTGGCGCAGTCAACTGCCAGCTTGCGGTGGCGAGGTCAGCCAGGTCCCGCCTGGCAAATAAATTAGTTTTTTTCTCCCCCATCACATGCAGTCGTCCCCGCACCAGCTCATTGGAAAATCTCTGAAGTGGGTTTGACAGCGGTCGCCAAAGCGGTTGACGTTACACGTGCGCCAGTGGCTGCGATTCTGTACGTCGAATTTTAAATATTTAGTAGGTATATAGTATGTATGTATGTACTACGTATGCTCCCTAGCTAAGGCGCCGGCTACCATACTTGTATTGAAGCCATCGATTAGAGCAGAGTGACAGAGCAGCGAATGCGCGCGTGCTCAAATGCTCAGACAGCATTGCACTAATTGAAGTGGTAGCTGGTGAGAGCGGGTGTGGTTAGGGCTCTGCACGAGTCCAATCTAGAGGGTACTTGGTTGCCAATAGAGCTAAAATATAAATATTACAGGCTAAGAGAAGGCGGTCAGGCATGCATATGCTTTGCACAGAAATTATGTTTAAAAAATGTTGGTTTAGAATTGTTACATATGAAATTTCAGATATGTGTGTGAAAAATTACCTACGTTAGCCATAGCCTAAGTAATTATTAGGTTTCAAAAAGTTCCCATTCTAGATTAAATCCCCTTATGAATATTTGTATTTATAGTTCGTAGAATATAGATCCAAGATCCAGAATGATAATGATAAATACTTTCATCATTGCATATGTAAGAGAGAATTTTCTTAGAACTACAAGTATAATTACTTAACGTATGCAATATACTTATAAGCTTGTAAGTATTGTATTAAATAAATATTTTAACAAATTTATTTACAAAATATCTTGCATATAGCAATCAAAAAGTAAGTAATTTTTAGAATTACTACTTTTAATTTTTTTCCAAGAAGCCTCAAGCCTGCACTTCTTATCTTATGACCTTTATTTGAGTTATTACTGAAATAAGCTGTTTCTAATGTACACTGAATACAATTGTATTATATTGAAGAACAACATTTTTATTCAAAATCGCGCATTTTTATTATTTTTTTATTATTTTATATTTATAAAATAAACTAGATTGTCAATCAATCATTTCTAGATAGTATTTTAACTGTCTTATAAACAACTCAGATCTTGCACTGTGTACGGCATTGAACTCACTCGTGCAATAGTCTACTACGAATACATGCATTCATTTTCAAACAAAACCAGAAGTTCGGTCATTTGATGATGCATATACATAAATCATAAGCTATGACGGTTTTTTTTTTTTATTTAATTGATAAAGAACTTAGATCTCACATTGCCTCAAAAGCTCACAGCAAGATCCTTTTCACCCACGCAGTACTTTAATAGGGCCACATCAATTACAGGCACTTGAAAATGCCTTTCAGACTAAAAGCATTTGCACAGAAAAGCGCCACTAATTTGGTTAGTTTGTCAGTTTGTCGCTTGTCTGTACATCACATTAGCACAAATTGTTGTTATTATTTGTGGCCATTAGTCGAGGGAACATCGTAAAGTGTCCGGCTATGCCCCGCTAGCACCCCCATCAGTTGGAGTTTCTATCCAGATGTCGTTGCATGTGCTGCTCTGTGTCTGCCACATTATCACATTTTTCAACGCGCAAAAATCGTTTTGCGAGTTCTGCGGTCTCTTCAATATACGCTATGTGGAGAAGACCCATAGTTTTGCCAATGCACAGCAAGTAGTGACCTATTTAGTCTGCATCATTGCTACCTTTTCGATATTATTTTGTTACATTTTTCGGGAGAGTATGAATACCGACAGGTATACTTTTCAATTATACGTGCTGACTGGCTTGGTATTTCTTATATCGCGGCCCTATCTGCTGGACGTGCTTAATCAGATGATTCAGGTCCATCGCTTTCTGGAAATGGCTTTGGGCGAGTTGATGTGCACATCTGTCGTGCGCGCCTCCATTTGGGCCTACGTCTTTACGGGGGAACTAATAATGATCTTATACTGGCAACTATCGACGTATAACGCCATGGGGAGGTGTCTCCTGTTTTTCGTCCTCTTATTCCATTATCTACAGATGATGTTGCATGTGAATTGCTACCTTTGGCTCACATGCCTGCATGTGGCTATGAATCGGGTCTTCACCGAATTGCTGACCTATAAGCAACGCCTCAAGATGTTACGCCTAGTGCTGTGTGCGCAGCCATCGTTACGCAGAATCGAAGAGGCCATGCAAAAATATTTTAATGTATATCTAGCAATTATTATTTTGATTATTTGCGGCAAACTATACGAAGGCTGTGTACTCCAAAACAATTTTGATCTGACACTGATGCGTCAGTACTACATTACAATGTCTTTGGTGGAGATTCGCTATGTTAGCAATCAGTTGGTCCTATTAGCAACGCTATTATTAGTGGCTAGGGAGTTTAGTAAGGAGCGGAGGCTCTTCGAACAAAATTTGTGGCTACTAATAAATAAGCCACATGATTTCTATCGACGCCTACAGGATTACAAGGTAGGTGTTCAGTGTGCTGAAAACTATTTCTAATTGTGCTATTTGCAGTTTTTCAAGCCGTACATAAAACGTCTAGACCGCAGACTGGACATAGTGGATTTTATGGTATGCATATCAGCCACACATTGAAAAACATGTTTTCAGATTTTCGAAAATCGCCCGAAATTCTATAAATATGTATACTATTTAGAAAGTTGAGAAAGTATTGCGTTTAGTGATAATCGAACTGTAAATCTAATAGTCGTTAAAGAACTTTTTTATTTTTAAATACAAGTCCTTTCTAAAATTCTTTAATTAACAGCAATCTACGACTACCTCTTAAAAAAACATTTCCGAGGCTATCATATCAAATTAAAATGTGCTTTAAGATTTTATATCGAAATGTTTTTTCCGATTTAAAATGGGCACTTCTTATAGTTTTATAGATTTATTACAATAAGACTTTTTATTCTACTTATTTTTTTGTGTAAGAAAATAGTTCTGAAGATAATTTGGAGACTCTATCCTATTAAGTAACATTTGCTGCCTAGAAATTATATTTAATTTAATTAGAAAATCTTAAGGGATTCATTTATCGTCCAAGCATCACTGACCTATACTTGTAGATATAATTTCGATGTAAAACTGAGACTGCACAAATGAGTCAATGGCGGTTAAAAGAATTAATGAAGTTAACTTAAAGAAGTCAGGGTCATATAAATTACTCCTGCTTTAGCTATATTAAATAAGTACATTGCGTAAAGTAAATTATATATCCGCGTATATTTTATAGTTCGAAAGATCTCCCCGCTCATACAGTCAAACATATTTGTGTGATTAAAAAAATTATGTTTTCTGTTGGAGCTGTCGTACGTCCGGTTGTTACATATAATTATATGAAATGCACATTTTACTATTAAGTCCACATGGCATTAAACAATTTGTTTATTTCTTTGCAGATTTGTAGCCACAACATGCCGTTTCAGTTTCGTAACAACTCCATCAATTTGTGCAGTGTATATATCAATGAGATCCGATATAACATTTCCGCCAAGTCTATGGCCGTAATGCTCTGCTCGGTTTGCATAAACATTATTGTGGCTTTGTTTGTTGGCCAGGGCAATGGACTGGAATTGGCAGTCGACTGTGACCACGGAGCAAAAAATTTGTTTTTCAATTTCGAAAATCGGACCACGATCGGTTGTGCCCTTACACTGAGCGCACGCATACCTTTAATAATTTGAGAGCGGTTGCTTCAAGTTGTACTTTCGAAATAAATAAAAGTAAATTATGAACGTCACTAAATCTTTCCCTTTGCGAATCCCCTGTTTTATATGCAAAGCACGCACTGTGGTCGCTCAAATGAAAAAAGGGTAAAGGCAGCTATAAATCAAGCAAATTTAAGAAAGTACCCTTAGGGTGGTGTGTGTTCGTCTTTGGAATATTTTAGAAACTAGCTAAGATGTTTCTGTACACATAGTATTTAGATATTAGGAAATTATTTCGTAATATTTATGTTTTCAATCTGGCTTTGGGTATAGATTGCTAAGTAAAATAAGTTTTAAATGAAATGTTGATGAGTTGTTTCCGAGAAGAACAGAAAAGGCCACACTAGTTTTTAAAGTTGTTCAAGCGCGTAGCACTTGGCTAGAGACACAAGCACACAAATAATACACACACTCTTTTACGAACACATATCGTATTTATTAATTTGAGTCGAGTGCATAAAAAGTGTTAGGCGAGCTTGTACGAAATCGCTTGAGTTCGTGCCAACCTAATTAGCCCATGGCCGTAGCCGTGCCACAGGGCGTATGATTAACACGACTAATGAACATCGTTGGTGAGCTGTAAATGATTGAATTAGAACTCATTGGATTTATACCAGCCATAATCAATGAAATTATTAGCAATCAGGCAACGCCCAAACCTAATGAGAGGAGGTTCCAACTAGGTGGACGATTGAGAGCCAGCTCCAACCAGCTGCAGCTTCAGTTGGCTGCACACGCACCAAACTATTTCCGTGCTGATTTGATTTCCATTTGCATTTGGCCTGCATTGGAATTGCTGGTTGCTACCACCAGACTTAAATGAAAACTTGCAGTGAACTCAAATTAGGAAAACGAAATGCAGCTGCACGGAAAATATTTCTATTGGCTGCATTATGCGACGGTCTGTGTTGGTTCGCATTGCACTTCCGTTGCAACATTAATGAACTGCTGCCATGGGTACAAGGGAAATGGAAATGGACCACCGTCCCCTTATTGTTCTCCCGTCCCATTAGCCATGCCATTGCCATCAAGAGCTGCATGCGGCATGCACGAGTACGCGTTTAATTGTCACTCCCACGCAATTTGGTGGCTCCTAATTGATATATGTATGTCGTATATTATATGTGTACTCGTATGCTCTTGGCACTGTAATGAGCCCGAATAATGTATGCACTGTACACACGAAACGGTCATGCTGGCCCCTTTATGTATTTTTTAACGAAAGCGCACAATATTTGGTACATACACGGATGTGAGCCATAAACAAAAACATGCCAGCAATTCCATTATGTGCATTTAATTTGTGTTATTAAAGTAGTCCAACACGTGCCTTTGTAGTTTTGCATAATTTATATTTATATTTAGAAGAACAAATATCCATTATTGTTACAAAATAAACATGCTTTTATATGTACATCCTATGTTTATTTACAAAGCATGCAGTATTATTAATTGAAGTGTTGTCTATTGGCATAACATTTAATTTAAAATTTGCTTTTGTAAGACTAGAATAACATTTCGTTTTGCTTCAAGAGAACTAAAATGTTTATGAATATAAGTATAAAGATTGTGCATGTGTCAATGAATTCTGACAAGAATTTTTTAATTTTTTTACATAATCATCATAGGTTTTAATTGAAACTCAAAATGAAACACTGCATTTATTTATCCGATTGCTTGTTAGCAGAATTGTGTTCAATGATTTTCAAAATCTAATAACTCTTAAATAAAAAAATATATTTAATATATTTGTAATGTGTAAATATTGTAATTGTTAATGATAGTTTGCAAGCTCAGGTCCGTATTAAATGCAGAAAAAGAATGATTTTCAGAAACTCTACATAGGGCTACAAACTTGAAATTGTTGTTGTTGTCTTAACTGAAAAATAACTGAAGTGCAAATAATATTCCCCCACCGGGTCGGAGGCGTTAATTAGATATTACCGTAATTTGATTCGATTTCTCCTTGTTAGGCTTTTCTAACTTATAAGATGCTTTTAATAATTTTTATACATATATTTTCCCCCCGTGTCGACAGTCAATGTTTGTTGACATACAAAAATAAATAAATAAATTTAACAGATAGACTTGATACAGTTTTACTTAAAAATGTTTTGAGTACTTTGCTCATTTATGCATAATATCAACAGAAAAGATTCAACAAACCCTACTCAGTTCCATTTTAATGTGAAATAGTACGCCATAATAATGACTGTGTTGTCGACTTCAGATTGCGCCCTTGACGACTGATCATCTAGGCACAATAATCATAGGAATTGCTAATCCATAATAATTATATATTCATCTTTATCATACACATTAAATACTTATCAACTTAAAGTGCTTTTCATTCACGCTTTTCGAGCATCCTAGTAGAGCAGCTTATGGTCGCACACCCTTGACTTATTTCTCCTATTTGTGTAGCCTCTACTGACCGATTTAGATGTCTGTCATCTAGCTTGTTGCCCAATAAATTTTGCAATAGTCGGTTGCGTTTTTGTCAGCATCAAAGTGAAAAGAAATAATAGCTGAATATTGCAATTTGTGCAAAATGCAAATTTCCTCACTGATGACAGACACAAATTCGTACGACCATTGGTGCTGTTTCTGTTGTTGTGGTTGTTGTTGGCACTATTACTTTGTTGTTATTTTCCATCTGCAAAATCCATTGTTTGTTTTGCAATATGTATGCATGAGTGAGTGTGGACATGTATATACTCGTAGGTATGTAAAGTATGTACATACAAGTATAACAAAAGGACAAGCCCCGTTCAATTTCCAGCTGTGTGGCCTAACGATGACATGGCAGCTGGCATGGTCATGGACATGGACTACAACAATAGATAATGGCTGCTAGAAAGGGATGTTTGAATGTGTATGAACGTCCCTTTGATTAGCAATGATTTGCATTATTTTTCCCCAAAAAAAAAAATTGTATTTGGAAAGCGTTGACATTCCATGCATGAACAATTTGGCTCAAGTTGCACTTTATTGATTTATTGTATGGCAGACGCATTATTTCAGAAATTGTGCAGAATTCAGTGCAAGTGCTCAATCATTGTCAAGAACTCACTACAAGAAAAGTATAAAATTTTCATTTTGAAAAGTTGACTTAGATTAATTTTACTTCGGGTTCTTACGAGTATGTTGATGTGCTTTATTTTCAGTCGTCTTTTAATTAAAACAGAAAGTTAGCTCAACAAAAACAGATTAATTGGCTACCTACTCAAATGAATGGCCAATTTTTAAACATCATAAGGCAACTTCTTTTTTGTATTTTTGATTTTTACTCAATATAATTTTTTTAATGGATTAATTTCTTAGATGACAGTACAATCTTGTTTTCCTGTCCCACAAACAGTGCGGCCGGATTTTATAAATATTTTACATTTAAATACAATTGGCATACGTTTACTACCGCCAATAAGCCGAATCTAATAAGTTTCTGTTAAGAAAGTAGCTTAGCATATATAAAATTTATTTTAGCCAATTTCTAATGATACATTCTATATTTGTACTTTCAATGCTAAATAAAGTAATTTTTCATCAAGCGTAATATTTGAGAATGAGTTTTTTAAATATTAAGATATATAGATTTGAAGAATTCAAATCACGTGGAAGACTTAATAAATTAAAATATACTTTATGTATAAATATATGTACACATATATGACTTTATTACACCTTTAGGTATTTATTTATATCAATTTCGTTAATTAAAGGCAGCATTATTATTAACATTTCATGGTAAAAATGAAATAATTGTTTTTAATAATACAAGTAAACGTACAAATAAACATATTTCCAAATGCTTTTTAAGTTTAGAGTAATTTATATTTAAGAATAAATTATCAAGATGTTGAACCATTTTTTTTCGAGTGT